ATGTGGATTCATCAAGCACCCAACTCACTAGTTCAACCATTAGTAGTCAAACTCTATATACCACGCTTAGCCTGCACACAAGCTTTTGGAAAATATTGACCATCCTAAAAATCCCAGTGATCAACTTTCCTTAACTAATATGTAACGATATCTCACAAAGTCGTTCATTGTAACCCAATCCAAAGGAGAGCACTTGATCTTACCCGTATTATTCCCTTTAATGAAAAGCTTCTGAACCAATATAAATAAAAACCCACATTTGTAATTTTCGCAGTGGACTTGCTGACAGCTCGCTTGGTGCTCAAACTGATCGTCTTCGCACAAGAAATTGAAGCAAAAACTACAGTTGTATATCCGTCCACCTACTATTGTACTCACCAGCATATTGTCCACCAACTGCCGATGTGCCGTTTAAGCGCTCTAATGCCCTTTTTATTGTCGAGTTTCTTATCCTTGGTATGATTTTGAAAAGAACTACAAAGGCGATGTTTGGAAGAGAATGGTCTGGGCTGTAAGCAATATGCACCGCCCTTTCGACTCTTTAACAATGCCAACCTTTCCGCCGTGCATTGTCGTGGCAGTAGGATGCGGTCTTTCTCTTGCAATTAGACTTCGTCTTTTGGGACTTGTTCTGCTCTTCATCGGCTGGAACATCCTGAGATTTCCTGCTGCTGCTTACGTAGAGCAATCATTTGCCCTTTCGGCTGACACGTGACAATTGCGTCCTAGTTGGGCAATCAAGGAAGCTGCTTCACAAGCTGGTATCATCTTTCTGCGCCTTGGTGATATCTATTGTTCTAGCTTTGCACAATATCGTTTGACGCGGAGGACGCTAGGCCGTGGTTTCTAAAGGGGATGGAAGTTTGCACACTTTGGCCCTTCATTACCTTCCATGGCTCTTACCCCTTTCATTACGTTTTATGCCCAGTCTGCCACAATAGCAGTCTCCAAGAGATTGTTTCCTCAGCTACGGCCAAAAATTTAGAATAAATACGCCATGAACTTGGTTTGTCAAGCAATAACAAAAAAACTCTGAACGTTCTTGTAAAAGGTATGGAAAATGGTTGGTGCTGTTTGCGACTTTTGTGAAGCTTTCATATGTCACGGAAAGAAGTGCCTCACCACTCATGCTTGCTCGTGTCCGCTCCGGAATGCCGAGTGCGTGGAATGTAAGCGAGGAGTATGGGATCATGGTGAGTTCAACCGATGCTCTCTCTCTGTTTGCATCTTATTTCTCCAATGGTACGGAGTTAATTCACAGTTTGGAGCCTCGCAGTTTGATAGTTATTGCCAAGCACGTGCTCGCCGCGGCTATGTCACGGTTTGCAGTCCTTCACGTAGACCAAGGTTTCCAAATACCGAAATGGGTCACATCAGAAGCTTAACGATCGCGAAAATCGGGTGAAGCTGTACAGTGGCTTAGTGAAAATACGACGGAGCCACCACCCGTCAGATGGAAAGTTTTTTTCCGTGTCGGTGTTGCCAATTACAAAAGTTCATAAATTACCTCTTAGAAAGCCTGAACTCCAAAAAAAGTTAGTTAAAAGTTCGGGTCCCAGAAACGGAGAAGGGTTAGCGATTAGGGAGTGGAAGTAAAGTTGTCTTCGAAAGTTTCGTGGTATTTTTTGGATCTCTGCCACAAGTCTTTCAAAAATTCATGTCGTTCAGTAGGGCTGATGAGAATAGTTGGATTCACTGCGCAGTATGCTATATACCGAATTTTGCCACCACGCGACTCGTCGCCTCTCGAGGGCAAAGTGGAAGAGAAAAGAGCTATGTTTTCGCTTCTGTGATTTTTTCCGTGCCTTGTATATGACAGCCACAAACGATTGAGCTTGATATTTGTCATCTGCATTACTGTTCTAATAATCTCCTTTGCCCTCTTTCTCCAACAGGAATGGTACACAAGAAACTCACGCTATAGATTATACATAAGTATACATTATTAGGAAACAAAGTAATCACCATCACGTTCTATCACTCTTCGCCATTTTTCGGGCAGACTTTTGATGCCTTCGGCAAAGAACTTTTCTGGCTTCGATTCAAAAAAGTTGCTCAACTCAACTCAAGGCCGTCTATAACTTCGTATAGCATACATTACGTGCTCGAGACGGATTGTCCTTCCTTATCGGACGTGCGGGATTGGGAGTTATCTTTGTGGGCGTCTCTCGTGGTAGTCACTCCAGGACGGGAGACTACGCTGCTTTGGGGTTGGGCAACCAGTCTTGAGTTATCGTTTCGCGGGATTGCACGACATAGCGTAAGAGGTCTCGCGTAGAGCTTCGTTGTAGCATATGTACGGGTGTTGAAGCCTCACCAAAGATTCCCTCATGAGTTGATCACTGATGACAGGAGTGCGGCACGAGTCCCGTCTACAATTTGTGTCCAGCTCCATCCGTACGCCCTGGTTGAACAAAGCTACTACTGCAGTTGAGAAGCTCAGGTTCCATGACAACCACACCTAGAATCTCCAGGGACTAGATCGGACAGAAGAGGGTGAAAAGTGAAGAAATTCACCACAAGGTCGTGCTCCACCTCTTTTGGAGCGTTATCGAGTAAGCCACTAGAGACATGTCAATCATTATAGATATGAATTCACTCAAGTGTAGGGAGATCAACGGCAGAGACTCACGGTGAAACCCCAACAAATGTCGTTAAAACTCGAAAAAGTGTGTACGCTCCACAACACCCGAGGCCACACATTTCGATAATGAAGCGATTCTGAATATCGAAGCCCAGGCTGAACCAATGGCCCCCTCAACTAGATTTCTATCGTGCGCAGTTCCTGCATTTGTGGTCTCGTGTTACGATGTACATGCTCGCTCTCATTTTGCTCAGCGCCTTTTGCGGACGACAGAATGAACAATGTTTGATCGTTTGCTTAAGAACGTATATTAGCACCTCGGAATCACTAGATTTTCTTTTGCGACTAGCGCTTTCTCTTGCCGGCTATTAGACTCGCGCCCGCAGTACTTCCCTTGGGTTATCGAGTTAGTGGTTACTTTGTCGCGTAAATCTTTGGTTAGGATGTTGGGTTGAGTGGACACAGTCACTGATATTTTGCGGTTGGTCTAGCGAGAATCTCTAAATATGGATTGTGATAGTTTGATTATCCTTGCACTTCCGCTGCGCTGGGGTTACATACGATGAGCAAGGAGTTCTAATAACACTTAGTCTTGCAAATAGGCTCGAGAGAACTTGCTCCTAGAGCAGACTGGTAAAATGTTCTGTGATCCTGGTGAATTGCATTCACTCTTGTCCTCACAAACGCTAGTGTGGCCAAATTGTCAGATCAGAGCTCTCTGCACCGTCTAAATGTGAGTTTGTAGCAAGAGCTAAACTCGTGCTATCTCAAGATCCCAATTAGACGCGTATGCACTGTCCACGCGCAAAGTCTCGCGGGTGCGACGCAGTAGTGAAGTGTGAGCAGTCTGAGGATGGGATAAGACTCATCGCCGCGGTCACGCGTCGGCATTGCGCGCGGCTCGCACTCCGATTTTAGGTAGGTCCGAGTAAAATTTATGAATTCTGGTGGAGATGCGATGCCCAGGATAACGATAGGCTGCGGTAGCCGGTAGCGTGTGGTAAAGGTGAAGAATTTCTCGGGTAATTCTCACCCTTCCTCTCGGCGACGTCTCCTACTCATCATCTCCTGATGTCTGACAGTGGACAGGTAAGATTCGCGATTGACAACACCCTTTCGCGCAAACGAGGGATGCTGAATAACTTGATGCACATCACATTTTGTAGGTGGACGGATATACACTGTGTTTGCTCTGCAACTTATGTGATGCTGGAAAAACTTGAGTCATTTGTCCAGCAAAACAAGCTCGCGGAGCTTTTGTTACAACAGGATTCAGCTCGCGAAATTACCATACTATTAAGCCTTCAGACGTTTTCTCGCCTATCAATATAAAAATATGATGTCTCGAGACATGTCATAATTTTCAATAATAATTGGTAGAAATAGTCGCGCAGATAAGGAATATCTCAATGTTACTCTCGTATTTCTTGAGCAATCGTGGAGACAAATCGAGACGGCAAGGACGTACACTGAATTGATGAGCGGAACATACGATCATGACCTTACTATAAGAATATTGGCTCTCTTTCTTACCTCTATCTAGCTTGTGATATTTTGTAATAGCGGTGTGTGATTTCTATATACACAAGATGCTATTTACCCGATAAATTCCTTGTACAGCCCTGTACATACTAGAGTTGGTTGTATCCCCAATCATAAAGCGAGTGCGACTCTATTCGTTACTTCGATAAAGTATAAGTCTTCTCTTCTCATACTCTACGGTGATTACAGCCCAGTCTGGGCTGAAACTATGGGTAATTTTCCAAATTTTCCAACATTTTCTTCTGGAAAAGGAATTTACAAGATTGTAACTGACCTGTAGTGAATTTTCCTGGATGTTTTATGACACAATCTCCTGTTTTCGCCATACATTTTTGTTTACCGCACTGAGCACAAGAGGGCAGTTTGGAAATGGAGGCACAGAAATAGCAGAAAGCTCGGCTTTTTTGATCACGAAGGCATTGATCACATTGCTGAAAAAGCCTTAACTTAGCTCTGAGTTATTGCTTAACTCTAGACCAAGAGATGATCATCTCATACCATTTGTGTGTTGCATGGATGCTCTGCGAGAGGCCTCTCTCCACTCCGAATTTTCTTCTGCAGCTCGCGCTGTTTTTCAGCTTTTTTTCTCTGACCTGTCTTCTTCTTAGGCATGGATTACAGACTATGCTGAAAGAATTATGTAGGATTTTCATGGAATAAGAAACCGTTGCGAGTTTCGCGTTTTCAGTATGGCGTAGGACAGGCGGGATTTTGCGAATGCCGCCGCCTTACTTCCGCGGATTTCGGGTTTGAAAAAGGCAAAACATCAATGTGACGAAATAATTTCATTAGTGACGATGTGTAAAGGTTAAAAGGGACATAATACCAGATTTCCAATACAGAATTACAATAACAATTACATGATGGCCATGAAAAGACAAGATTTGTGAATTTTCGCTGCATCATAAGCATTTTTGCCCCATCTTGCCGTCCATGAAGGTCTTCACTTCTGCTACTCATGTAATTTGCATATTCATGGCAATAAATAGAAAACGAAGAGCAAATGTACTAGCATGGGCTGCCGTCGCCCCACGAGCACCGCCCTGGCAGCCCACATGGGCTGCCGACCGCGGGAATGTGGTAAACAGCCAAGGAGCATTTGCAATAGAGATGCAACTGCTTTCTTGCTAGTCACGCCACGTCAAATCAACCAGTGGTCACTACACTGTTGTCGCATCAACAATAGGATGCGAAAGGATGATTTCATGCGAAATTCAGAAAGAGATTTTTAAAAGTGTCACCGTTATCGACTTCATTGCATGAACGGAAATCAGAAAATTGTGGTACGGGAAGAGTTCCTAACCACAACTCAGGATATAAAATGGAGTGCAGAAAGATCAGAGGAAAATTTCAATCATGCCCGACTATGCATTCCTCTGAAACTAAGCGTTTCTCATTATCTGCAAGACAGACTTGGAGTTGGGACTCTAATGAGAAGACAAATCAAATCCAATCTAAGATTTCCCTCCAACTGATGGCGCTGTAGTTTCAAGGTTTGAGACCACACAATTGCCTCCTTCGCGCCGAGCTCTTCCTTCCATGCGTGAACAAATTTGGACTATTTTTCCTACATTTTAACGACAGTGTTGGAAAGTTAGGAAGGCGAAACTCTTAGTCTTCAAAGAACTTAGCAACTAAAACCCCCTAATTTCTGCTAACGAATTAATTCGTCACAAACCGTCGCTTTGTCATATCTTGGCTTGGGGCTTTGGGAGGGTTAAAGGAATCGTTCACGGCAGAATCATGTTTGTAAATTTATTATTTTTCACCCATAAAGCACTGAGTTTGAGACCTATCATTCACGTTGAAAAAGAAACAACAGCAAACAAATGCGTTTGCTTTTCTACCGTTCTTGCGTTTGCTGGTGGTAAACAGAATCGGGAAAAATGGAAGGACTGTTACACGCGTTCAAATTACCGCCGGGCATCTGCCACAAATACTGACGACGGGAACGATTAAAATTGGTTCTCGAAGTGCGGTCACTAGGCACTCTTTTTGGCTTTCCCACCCATGACAATATCATACGTGGTAGCCTCCAGCCACTGCTTTAATCCAATGTCGGTTTCCTTGTGACCCGCGTAAGCTACCCGCAACCATACCCAGAGTATGGATTCCGTAGGCTTCTTCGGAAACGGAATCTTCTTTCATGAAACTTTGTAAGTTGCATCTAGTGACCACATCTGACGTATTTATGTTGGAAAAAAATTGAAGAAATTTTCCGTGGACGACTCCTTTGAGAAAAGACGAATGTATGGATCAATCTACAAGAAATTCGAGAACGTAGTATGCAATAAACTGAAATATGAAGGCACTGAGGACGCCCTGCCGAGTAACACGGTGGGACCGAATACATCTCATATAGGGAATGGGCACGGGCTGAAGTTTTAACATAAGCACGAACTAGTGTGGAAGTCATGAGATGTCAGGAGAAGGAATAATTTCTCAAAAGGAAAAATATATACCCGAATAAGCAAAAAGACCCTAATTATCCTCACTGTTCGAAAAGTGTGAGTATTCAGTCTCCGCCCATGAGCTTAGTGAGGCCTGCAGTTGCTCTTGATTTTGTTCAAAGCAGCTGCTTGATTTCCACGATCGAGCCAATCATGGACAGATTCTTGGACGATCAATCTGTCCTCTCAACTAAGGTGGACCTCACCGGCCTTCACCATCAGCGCAATGGCTTTTCGTCCCCAAAATCCCCTTTCCCCTCCTGACAAGATATACTATATTGTGTTGAAGGGGTATACCAGGCTGAGAGCTTGACGACAGGACACTGATAGGATGCTTCGGATGCTTCCTATTCAATAACTTATTTTTGCAGGGACATGTCTTATGGACCAAAAAGTATGCACCACCACCACGTATTGGATTTCCAGGGATTTGGTCATGACTACGAAGGGAAGCAACGAGGATCTCGAGAATATAACAGGCATTGGCGTTTATGCGCAGTAATACGGAGTACCGCATATGGTTCCCTTGAACCGCATCAGTGTTGGTAGCGCGTTGGTTTACAAGTAAGGCAAATACACTAGGTCGAAACATGCGACGGAGCATTTAACATCGAGCGGACTTGCATACCTTTGAGAACCTCACTATTGAGAAGACAAAGCGATAACTCGTATGTGCTTAGCAATAGATGCCGAGGCCTGAGTTATTGGAGAGAAACAAGATACAATTGCAAAGGATCAAAGTGACGCCAGTAACTTCATGGAGCTGAAACACGTTAGTTATTATGAAATTAAAGAAGGGGATTAGTAATGAGATAGTGAAAGGAAAAGCGACTAAGGTAAGTCACAACTGAGCAAAGACAATGAGTTACACAAGAAGCTGCAGCAATCGGATGTTCGTACCAAAGTTTGGAAAGAAGAAAAAGAAAAAAATGATGAAATCAAACCAAGCTCGTCTTTTGATTTCTGTTTTACAAAATGAAGAGCCTTAACACTAATTAAAAGGGTTAATTAAGAATATCGTTGTTTTATACATATCGTTCTACGTACGAAGAAGCGTCATTTTTAACGCAGTTCGGATGCTGCTTATAGTAGTCGTAGGAGAAGGAAGCGCCGGGATGCGTGAGCGTCACTTTCACACTCACGCCGGGCTTCCTCCTCCACGAAAAATCTGATAGCTGTAGGTGACCCGAAGTGTGCGGTGCCGGACAGCGAAAATTCATGAAAATCTTGACTTTTACTGGATGTCCCTAAGTAGTGGTCCGTTTATTTTTTAAACGGAAAATTTTCTGCTCAAATCCCATGTTTTTATACCAGCATATACAACAATCGAAGGAGAATGGTCTGCTCTACAAAGATGTTGAATGCTGCTTCAACAGGCGCTGCAGTTCTTGAATTTTCGGGCCTGCAAGATGGGGGGGGGGCAAGCCGACCAAAATTGAATAACCGACAATTAGCATCTAATGTATTTTCCCATGAAGACAAGTCAATCAATGATGTATCTTTTACTTATCCATGACTGCTGAGCTGCATCAAGGTTGTCAAAAAAAGCTTTGCCTTATTTCTTTTGAAGTTTGGTTTTTGGTTGACCGATAAGCCGTACAGATTGTTGAACTGAAATTCTTTCTATAAAAGCCATTGTTTTATATCAGGTCATATAAAATTCGTGAGCCCACTTCTCTCTCTATTCGCCCTATTGTTCTCGTTGTTATTTCGTTTCGTTTGAAAGTTAGGTCGAATTCATAGGCCTGCACGGGGATAGTCACGAAATAGCCACATTACTTTGGGAATAAAATTTTCCCCGAAAGATGAGGAAACAAATCAGACATACATTCCTTGCTCAGTCATGACTTCCACTTCACATCTACTAGTTTTAAAAGTTTCGGCTGTAAAAAAAATTGGGTTGTTAAGCATTCAAGGGAATGGTGCTTGACCATTGAGTTTTGGCGGAAAAACCAAATTTGGAAAAAGGAGTGACGCGACTTGTTGGAAAGCCCAATAGCAGTGTGTTAAGAAGAGGTCGCGAGTAAGTGAAAAGTTTATCAGGGATTGATCCCTCTCAAGGGAAAATAAAGTTAGAGCATAGTTGTCGGTTTGGCTCTTTTTTGTCGGCTGGACCTCCCATTTCGCAGGCCTAAAATTTGAAAAACCCTGGAAAATGGAAGAGAACATAGCATCTTGTAGAGCAGACAATTCTCTTTCGAATGGTATATAGCTTGATATAAAATATGGGACTTTAGCAAGGATTTTTTTTCGTTTGAATAAGAAGACACTACTTACACTAACGGCCAAAATAGAATACCAAAATGAGTTTTGTGGTGGTTTGGGGAGGTCCATCACTAATGGTTGATGGGGCGTGCACTCAAGTGGGCGGAGTTTACCACAAAACATTAAAGCCCAGTTCCGGTATTGCCCACGCACCAAGAACGAAGTGAAAAGAAGTTGAAGAAGGGAAGAAGATCAACTGATATCGACCGGTGGTGCACGCACCGAATGGGAGAAGCCAAAATCCAAAATTGCACAACGGTTCATAACTGCCCGGGAACAGGGAAGACGACTGTCAGAGACTAACTGAGAAGGAAAATTTAAGCGCTCATGATGAGCGGAGTTTGTACTGATGTGAGCGGAGCTGAAATTTTAGTTGCCGTGTTCAACATCGTTGGGTATCGTGTGAAGCACGCGTTGATGTGCGGAGTCAAACTAGTAATGGATATTCACCACTCCTACTCTGTCCGGAAGCCAGTACAGTCGTCACTGCGGACTTATGACTAGCGGCACAATTTGCGCACCTCTAAAAAATAGATATTGATCATCATTCCCATCAGAAAGATGCTGCCAATTGATACAATCACTGCGACCAACTTGGAGCTCGCGATCGCCTTTTTTCGTGCGCATGAACCATAGGTTATCGAAATAATGAATGAATTGATATGACACGAGTTCATCGATAGCTGCAGATGAAAAATGAGAAATGATGCCAAGATTCATGACTGGATCTTCAATTGAGCTTCACTCATTTCGATATGGACGAAAGACCCAGTAAAACTCCAAAAAATTCACTCGCTTGGAGAACCTCACCGAAAGGTTCTTAGTGCTTGAGAAAAACCATGCTTTGAGGAACCCATGAAATGCAAGCAAGTTGTGTAAGATGAAGGACAATCTTTGCTGTGTATTCACTTTCTAATAGCAGCTTTCAAGGCAGCATAACTGTGTTGGAGGTTCATATGTGTAGTAATAAAAACATTACAAACACTAACGCAGAGACGAACAATAAGTATGGTTCCTACAAATTAGGAACTCTACAATAATAAGAGTTTTCGCCAATCACACAACAAACAAAAAAAACAAGGCCGGCAATAAAGCTCCCGAAGTTATGGCTCGTTTTTAAAAAAAACGTAACCAAAGGGTAGCGTCTGGTCAGATGCACAGAAAATGTGTCTATAGCACACGTCAAAGTCTCCCGCTTGTTATAAACTTATTTAGACTCAATTCTGTGGTGTGCTTGTGGTTCGGGGTCTTTTCTGTCTTCAAAAATCTCACCGCCCGAGGCCAGTCGCCGCGCGCGATCTCTACGTTTTTCTGCGTAAGGATTTCCTCTACGCTAAATCGAAACTAAGCATCGGCAGGGGAGGAGCTTTCCAGGATCATAGCAATTTCATCGGTGCTAACTTAGTTGGGGGGGGGGCACGCGGGCGGCGCGGCAGTCTGCTCGCCTGGCATGTTCGGAAATCCGTGGGCCAGGGGGAGTGTAGCCAGCCTAGGGGGTTGGGGGGGCAGTCACTTGACATGCGTGAAAAGCTGGAATGTTCGAGTTTACACTGTCTCGCTCGAGAGAGCCCAGGTGAGCAGACTGCCGCGCCGCCGCGTGCCCCCCCCCCCCCAACTAAGTTAGCACCTATTTCATCTTCCTAAAGTTCCTACCCACTCCTAGGTTTAGACTGAAGGGGGCGGACGAAGCAGAGAACCGCGCGCGCGTTTTGCCCCGAGCCATATTGCCTAGAAACTCACCATATTTAACCAGATTAAGAAGAATAACGGAAGCGATCGGCTGACGTGGTGTTGCTGGGGAACTTCATAATTGTTTTTGCAGCTGATTGATTGCGAATTTCAAATGTGTGAACTTGACTCATTAAAAAATATCGCGAATCATGCGTGGGAACGTGTGCATAGGCAAGAAAATGTAGCGGATGCTTATACAAGGTTCACAACGTCTCGGGAACAAACTGATTATACAAAGCCCTCCTTTGACATCGACTACAATGGGAATCTCGGTGTCAAACTGTACGTCTCGTGGAAGTGGGAGCGAAGAGGGCTGCATATGGTCACTTTTAGGGAGATCTTTGTAATCGGCCGACGGTTGACTAGATCGTTTTCTGGCGCTAAATAGGACTAGAACGTCCGTAGTCAGGTCCAACACTTAGGATCTGTATTTGCATCCGGGATGGAGAGGAAGAGGTCGTAAGCGAATGGCAACGACGCAGTGCTTGGAGATCTTCAGGGATACAGGCTCTTCTGACAGCTGACGCTATATTATGCTTTTGCATCTAATTGTGTGGAAAAGCCGTTGGCTAAAATCGCAAGGGAAATGACGAAATGTTAGACAGATGCGATTAAAGCTTGCAGCTCTAGGCTTCGGCTTACAGCATGAACGATTAGAATCAAAACGCTTTGCTGTCGCGATCGCAACCGAGGGATATAACTTTCAATTGCTCTTCAACTCGATGCCGCGCAAACGAGTGCATCGCGTATCTAGCATAACTCCGCCTACGAGTACACACGAATCCCATATTCGAACTGCTTACGACCGAATGATCTCTCCGGGTCAAGAAACGGACTTTCTGGAAAAGAAATACTTGCTGTATTATGACTTTAAGATAATGAATGCTGGTTTGTGAATAAAACTGTTGCCCATACGGGACTCGACCCACACCTTTTGTCTACCGGGCAAGTGTGCTATCAGTTACGCTAACTCAAGAAAATTTTGTTGAAAAGAAAAAAAAAAAAAAAAACAAAAAAAAAAAAAAAAAAAAAAAACCCAAACCAGCCCTTCTGTGAAACATTCCAGCAAACTGCGGCCAAAACAAGCAACTTAACAAACGAAAAGGCTTTCAGCGAGTTTCTAAGGTTGTGCTGTTTCAACAATCTAATTTAAGCAAGCCATTGTAGCTGAAAATTCGCGCGCTTTAGGGACATAGCCTCAAAGAACTCGTGAGAAAAAATGGATCCGCGACTGTTTTAGAGTAGTCATTTGAAAATTAGCTTCAAGCATTCTTTAGAAAAACTCACATTTTAAATGCGTTCTAAGAACTGCAAAAATGACATGAAAAAAAGCCCTGGAAAGGTTCCAAGCTACATAAGAAAACCACTCTTTTGTCGCAAAAATCAATCGCACCCAACCCCCATAGCGAACTAGCGCTATTTCAGGACCTGAACAAACTGAAATTGATTGTAGCAATCACCTAGAAGCTTTGATCTCGTAGTTTAATGCAAGCACTACAAAAGATCATGAAAAAAATTCGAATACGAAGTAAAGTTATAAAACTTCAGCCAAAAAAGCCCAGTATTGTACAAAAATCAACCAACAGGACGATTTCTGAGAAATGAACCTGCAACAAAGGCTCGAGTACTTTTGGAAGATGGAACGATTTAATATGAAATTGCATAAAAAATGTGTGCATTTCTGGCAAAGTTTGAATTCTTTACGCTACAACAGAGGAACTTCAAAATTCTGCCACTCTTGGCAGTTTTCTGTTACTACAACAACGGAGACTATAAATCTGCTTAGCACTGAGAAATATGAACTCATAAAAAATAACACTCCTTGGGATCAATAATTTGCCCCCCCCCCTTCTTTCTTTTAGGGAAGCAATTTGCAGTGCAAGTGAGAAAGCCGCGCGCAGTCGCTTTCGCGTTGATTTCATTTTGAATCTCTGTAGCTTTTACTTCTCCTTATAGTCTTCGTGATGAATATTTGTTTTTCCAATGTATGGGCCGCTCATGCGCTTCACCTACACACAATGACTACAACGAACAAAGTTGAGGGGGGGGGTGGAGAGGATCTTGCCTCTAATCATTGTGCAAGTGGATTATGTATGGGTGAGGTGCTTGCCAAAGAATGGCTACTCATGATTCGTGCTTTTGTCTTTTACTCTCTGGTTTTATTTCCTAAAATGCTGAACTACTAACGTCAAAAAGGCAAGGTATTCAAAACCCTTCCAGGATCAGGAAAAATTCCAAGGCATCAGAATTGCTATTTAAAAAGCTACAATGCTAGTGAATTCCAAAAGCATTCGTTCATAAATTCTGGGACGCCCCGACTGTTTTTTTTTTATTTTTTTTTGTCATTTTTTGCTGTTTTTGTTCAACGTCATATGCATCGCGTCTATCTACAACTCATTAATAGGTGCAGACAGTGCCAGCTCTTCAGAATACCATGTGCTTCTCTTGAAAAGATTGGATGTGATTTCAAGAGGCATGTTAGTTGAGTGTAAAGTTCCGCTGCTCCAAAAATGTCTTTTTTGTGAAGCTTCATTATTTCGTCGAGATGTCCATCCTTCATTCCTTTCCAGTTTCCTGTATTTCAATTTAACTCCAGAGTACAAAACGATTTTTTATTGCAGATTAACTCGAACTTTTGGCGCTTTGCACTAACATTCCCTGGCACGATGTGCGCCGTGCCTGCGTCATCCCTCTAATTCCGCATTTTAAAGTTCAAGTTCGACTTTTCTCAATCTTGGCATAATGAACACATTCATATTCATTAGTAAATCTTGAAGCTTTTTAAGATTGGTGAACTTCATTAAATACGCCAACGTTCCGGCGTCTTCGCCTACGCCCCAGCCGCATCTCAGATAACGCCAAGATTTCCATCGCTGACTATCGCGCTTACGACCCCCCCCCCTACTTGCACAACAGACGGTTGACCCTAGTTAAGGGACACAAAACTAGCTGCCTGCAACCGGTCTAAGGTCTAAGTTTTGATTTCCTCCAATTTTCGGCGATAGTGTTTTATAAAATTTCAGTTTTTTAAATTCATGCGAAGTTCTCAAATTTACACATGACTCCACAAAGATTTCACAAAAAACTCACAGAAGTTATTCCACAAGAGAATGTATATTTTTTCTCAGTCCCAGGCGGCTCTGCCTAAAGTACAATGTCAACAACACTGAATGCGATCCCTTCTTACGAAGAGCAAACCCTCCGTTGAGCCTTCCTTCCACATTGGTTCACCCTGCCTATTCTTGGGACTGCGCTGATACATCTCGTGCTTTTGCAGTTGCTTAGGTGGTGGGTGGTCCATTGGTTACAGAGGGATTGCAATCGGCATTTGATTGTTTACTCAGTTGTTTATATTGTTTATCCGTAGGTAATGGCACGAGTTGTTGAGTTTGGGCAAGGCTCACGCCTTCACGACTTCAATCGATCCGGAGATCCCTTTCTGATTTGATGAGTCTCGCATCACATTCCTCGAGGTACCCTATTCATTCATCTGGTGGAAGGTTCATGGTCAGGGAAAAGCGAGACGGATTACGCCTGTACGTAGAGGTTGGCGCGCCCCAGCGTCAACACCTGCGACGCAGCCGCGCGTTAAAACAACGAACACTTGAAGTAGTTCGTTGTAATAGTAGTTGATTATGCCTTGCATGAATTAATGCTCATTTGTACAGATGACCAAGCCTGTGCACTGCTATTCAATTCGTAGTCGCTGATTGACAATGAACAGGTCGATTCTGTGGAACTACTCTCTTGGATTGGAACTACTCTCTTGGACAAGTCTTACCAGGAAACTGTTTCCAGGCCAACGTTTATTGTCTACTTGTGATAGTTCTATAGTCTGGTTTCATGGCAATACAAATGAGGTAAACAAGGTCTTGGCTAGTGTTGAGCTGGCGCGCTTGATGTTTTGCCATGCAAATAGACTGACCCAAAAATAAAATTTAATCACGACAGAAGGATTGGATTTTTTACTTTATTAAGGCGTCCGAAGAAGTTGTATTCAAGTAACTGCGATCGTTGGTGGACTTAGATTCACGGAATTAGTCGCCGCGTGGAAGAAGTCGTTTCTTGGTCCTAACGAAACACCGGATACGTGACATTTTCGGTTCCGTTTTGAGCCATCCGGAGCTTCCTTACACAACTTATATGTCGCAGAAATGGCCACACCCCCCGCCCACATATCTAATGCTTCGCAATGCTATTAATCGCTTGCTGTTCTATGTTACTGAGCAGACTGTGTGTGAGCTCTGTATTGACTGCTTCGTTGTGTATACCATAGTCTTTCTACAGTCGACATTTGAGAGTTGAGGTAGTGTGTCACTGGAAGTGACGTGGTCATCGCCGCACTTGATAGATGCCGCGCCGATATGCTTCCAATATACTTTTCTGGATATCAGCAAAGCATGCTGGCAACAGCTTATCCACGCCATAATAATCAAGTGCCCGGTGGGTTAGTCACATCCTTTCAGGTGAAAAGCTTACCCACTCTCAGGGATTCAGTGTAAAAGGAGCATCAAGGATCTCTATTCGGTAGATGAGGCATCAACAGCTAACAACTTGCCTATTGCATTTCAGAGTCCTTTGAAGTTATCAATGCTTTATTCTTATCTTATTTCTTTTGTTTGTATAGTGTATGTATTCTTGTCCCGGCTGACATCTGTGGAAAGTAATATGCACCGAGTGAGCAGTTAGGCTGGTGTCAGACTTCGCGATCCGTCCACGGTTTCGGCTTATGTTTCGCGATTGCGCCCGAAACCTGCGGAACGGGTCGCAGGAGACTCCCAGACACGGGGTATATTTCACGGTGATAGACGGTACAAGTTGTGTTAAGAATGGTTGGCCTACTCTGCAGAAAGTTCCTAATCAGTGTGCGGGCCTCCTTTTAGTACCGACAGTGTGCTGGCAAATGGCTACTAATTTTGTTCCATAATTTGTCTATGTAATTAGCACTGATTTTTGCTTTCAATGGAGTTTCCCAAACAGATTTATAGTGTATTCTTGGGTTTTCAGGATCTCCTTTTTTACGGAGGTCTCGACGAGTTCCCACTCCTGTCGTAGCTATGGAAGGTTCATTGTTCAAAAAGGTGGGTTTCCAAATCATGATGTGATACTCTAATCGGCATCAATGCTTATTTTGGGCAGGAGTGGTGCGTCTTCGTGAGCGATTCCAAAGGAGGAACACTGGTACGCAGGTGGATAAAACAGCCGCTCTTGAAGGGTTCAGGTTTCCATGGCCTTTCCCCAAAAAACCATCATCTTTTTATAACATGGTGTCGTATTTCACGATAGGAGCTGTAGCATCAGTGTCAAAGCTGCTCTTCCTTCGAGGTAACGTTGAATTCGCCTGAAACTTTTCTTCAGAAGAAGTAGCCTTTGTTTCAGTTGCTAATCAACTCGTAGTGCATAACAAAGAGCGTTTTATGAATGTTTGGATGGATAGGTCACGGCCCTTGATTACTATATCAAATCACAGAAGTAACATTGATGATCCTCTTATGTGGGGTAAGTTTCATTTTTTATTAATGAATCGCCTTTTTGTCAGCCCGTGCTTCTAAAATGATCGATGAAGCTCTGATAGATGAGGTTAAGGTTTTATAACAACTCGAGAGATGTGCAAAAATATCGACCGTCACCGTTATACATTGGCGGCACACAACATATGCTTCACAAAGCCCTCACATATAAAGTAAGCTTCTGAATCTTTAATCGGTTGCAGTAGAATCATCTTGTCTTTATTTAGATATACTTTTCGCATATGGGATCCTTCCATTCCAGGTTCTTCTCTTTGGGTCGTTGTGTGCCTTGTGTTCGTGGTGAAGGAGTTTATCAGAAGGGCATGGACTTTTGTGTGGACAAATTGAACGAAAATGGCTGGGTTCATATGTTTCCAGAAGGTCGAGTTACTGTGGAGCCGCTTCGGTGAGTTAGATTGTGCTGCTCAAGTCCAAGTGCCTGCTTGGTTTTTTGATCACGTTGGTTCACTTTAAAATTTTGAAGTTTTTTTCTCGCTCCATTTGTACGTGTTTTTGTGATGTTGAAAACTCGGTTGCGGGTTTCAGCGAATAAGAATGAAGCATTTTCATGACTCACCTCTTGCTTACGTTATCTTCTCATTTTCCTTGGTGATGAGGTAATCCTGAGCTAAGTTCGCCGTTTTCTAATTTTAGACTGTCTCCCTAATCAGTTTTTACATTCTCGAGGGTTTAAAAAAATATTTTTCTGCTATCGCTCTCAATAGTCACAGTCAGCCTGTACGCTCACGCTTTGTCTGATTAACTTTGTCTTTTGTATGAAGGCAGCAGTCGCGACAAGTTGGTGCCGAGAAAAATTAAAATAGGGGTATCTGCTGGAAACGAACCTAGGAGAAACTATCGAGAACGGGCCATTCTGTCACATAACATCGCGAGTGGACGAGTTTACTGAGGTCGTATCCTGTCCTTCCCCCAGGAAGACGCGCCCCCGTCGCTGATCCTATCTTATGGTGGGGGAGACAGAGTTGCGTCATAGGGTCAGCCATAGGGTAGCTACAACATACGCGTCCAATGGCGCTTCCTTCGACACAACCCTGCCTCCCTCAAGCCTAGGATACAATTTGCGGCGGGGAACGCGTTCCCCCTGGTGGAAGAGTAGGGTACAGCCATTGGTAACATTGAGGTCGTTCGGGGAAATTTGCGTGTCTGAGAGGAAGAGCGACTTGGAGTCTTTGGCGCCTTATCACTCGCCTTGCGTCGCGAAAACGTTGCCTGTCATGTACTCATTCTTCCCTCAAATCTCTCCATTACCCATCTTTCTCGTTCTTGAACATCCATTTGAATGCTATTTTCGACACTGAGCAACGGTAGGAGTATGTCTGCGAGCAGGTACAGCTTGGATTGAGGTGGTCAATTGTAGCACTAACAAGTTGTGTACTGCATGGGCTCAAGGAGTTGGATATTTCTACATATTTGCTGCATCTTGAAGGTAGAAAGAGGAAAGGAAAATCGCGGCCTGAGAGCAAATACTCCTATAATTAGTTTCTTCCATTGCGCTACACAGATTGACAAGTGCCTATGATACATAATCTCACTCATGCCAATACTGACGGAGTATTTCTTTTAGGTTTAAATGGGGAGTTGGCCGTCTGATTGAAGACACTGCCGTTCCTCCAATAATTCTCCCTATCTGGTGTACCAATATGGCAAGTGTATGGCCAACTCATCCGCCTTATTATCCTCGCTTTGGACATGTATGTTTTGTTAAACCCGCAGCACTACCATGAAAATGGAACCGAAATTCGAAATCATCCATGTTTAGAAAGTCGACATTCATATTGGTGAGCCATTTGACTCAAAGCAGATCTTGGATGAATTATCACTGAAGAAAGGTTGGAGTGTGGTGAAGAGAAGGAAATTCATCACGGACGCACTCCAAACAGAGTTATTTGAGCTCGGTGAAGCAGTTGGAAATCTCACGAAAGGAACTGCCATGCGTATACTCAAAGAGAATCCCATCGAGCATTTGGTGTGATTTGTTTTTATAATATTATGAGGTCCAGACAGTTAAATGTTGGGCGGTCTTTCTTTAGTGCAATGATACCTCATGTTTTATTTTCTTTGCCTTTGTCTAGCGTTTCTCTTGCGTTTTTGGTTTTATTTTCCATTCACTGCCATTCTTCCCGAAGCTACGGTTTGAATCCAATTTGTTTCTGAATCTGCTTGTCGGTCATACATTACCGCATTCGCTAGTGGAAAAAGTCGACTTACTGCGCTCGGAGCGCGACGGCAGAACTGTTTTGATCATCAGATACCTAAAATATGTTTCTGAGTGAGAATAGTTTGACTTTTGAACACATCACCTTTGATTACAATTTGTCAGGAAAGTTGGTGGGAGTAGTCTGTTTAACAGTCGTGCACAACTGCACGCACAAGGCGTTTTGCATTGAACAGATATGTTTGCTTAAAAGGTCAAATTACTCTCAAGGGTCAATGTTTCGTCTAAATCAAGATAATGGTCATAGCTTTGAAAAGTCTAGGAGTGAATGGTAAATTGCACCATTACTTCAAAGGTAAGCATAATGGTGCTTATGGTTAGCTCTCGCACTTCACTGAATGTTCGAAAGTGTTTCGATCTGTAATTCTTCACAACTCACATAAGCTCTGGGAAACCACACCAATCACAGGACACATCCTTCTCAGCTCTAGTTTTTGTCAACTGCTCACATCCATTTTGGCAGATGTTGTGTATTAGTTCATGTCTATAATTTAATTATTAGTAGTCATTTTGTTTTATCATGCAGCAATTCGAGATCACACGGTTTCTAAGAATAAATAGATTTTTACTATCTCATGTGTATGTCGATAAGACTCCCTCATCAATTACTCATCTGAGATTATGCTACTGTATTCATAATCGGTGGTTGCTGATGTCTCTATTTATTTAAGAAATCGCATAGTGTGATTGCTTCCTGTGTTTTGCACGTCAGTTTTCTGTTCAACTTTAACGATCGCTTCTTAATATTGCAGCAGGCACTGGTAAGCGGTATGTGTTGCCTAGAACTTAACTTGTGACAGAGTTTGTTGGATACTGATGAGCTTTTACTGCCTAGTCGCAGTAAGCCAGCCGACTATAATACAGCCAGCAACAATCTCAGATGAGTATGATGATGGGGCATGGGATAGCTGAGTATTGACCGTTAACATTTTGTGTGTGCGCAGTCAAGTCTGTCTCTTAGTGTACTGTTTTCAAAATTTCGGACAAATAGCGAGTGATTGTTTTCGAAAAAAAAACTTATCATTTCATTGTGGATTACTTTCCATTACGGTTACTTTCGTTCCTGCTCTGAAATGGTCCGGTAGCCTTGCGTTTCATAGCCGATTCTCTAGGCCGTTTTGGGAGTTAGTGTAACTTCTAAACCTTGAGCAGACGTAATTTGGTAACCGATTGAGAGCTGATTACTGTTGGACCTATTCCAAAGCTTTCTTGGAAGCTGGTTTGCGAAAGTTGGTGTATTTGTTGACATGTGTGCCTTATCTGCTGCGCTTTCCACTGGTTTCATTTTTTTTTTGAATAATAATTCTGCATAGAAGGGCGAACACATTGCCGCCCCGTTGCTGTCGGAGTAAGCCCGACGCGTCTCACAAATTCATTCTCGCCGTGCAATCTTCGTTCAGCTACCAAGGAATGCTTGGCTTTGCATGGTGTCAAACATTCAGGCTCCGTGGTAGAACAAGCGTAGTGCTAATAAGATCTTTCTTCAAAGCAGCAACCCCAGCAGAAGTCTTTTCGAAGAAGTTTCTCTATGGGTGGAATAGAGTAGCCTGTAGGTAGCCCAGATGTGCCTTTGTCGCGTTTGCTCTCGAAACTTGGGCTCCCCCTTGACAGGCACGCCCTCGCGCGTGGCGATGAAGGCAAAGTCACGGCGACGACTCCGCCGGCTGCGCACTATAGGGATTTCGCGTCACGTAAAATAGAAAGTGTCTTTCTCGCCGCACGTCTCCCACTCATGCGCTCACACACGCGCTGCAACCCGCTCCGCCGACTGGTGGCCTCTGGCCGCGCGTATCGGGCCTCCAACGTGGTAGTCGCACCTCGAAGAGCCACCTGTGGACAACGGGCGCTAGGGCTTTACAAAGTGAGCTTACGGCGTAATAATCTGACTTTCTAGTAAGCGAAATATAACTTGTATCACACCCCCATACAAGGCACCCAATAACGCGAGCGTGAAGTACACCGTAGCAGCGTATCTCAAAATGGCTTGTGTTAGTGGTGCACCGCGGCAGGCACGATCGTTATAATAACCCTCTATTTTGGAAGTACAGAAAAAAAACTGTGAGTGCCAGACCACGCATCATAAGAGACGACGGCTAAGGAAAAAGACCGCTTTTTTCTTGGCCGTCTTCTCTCTATGATGTGTGATCCGCACTCGATTTTCTTCTTCTCGTCTTCCGAAATAAAGTATAACTGGCCCGGCTGCGCCCCTTCCTCATCCAGGGAATAAAAAGGGGAATACCTGTTGATGGCTTTGTCGACCCTGGTGTTCTGGGCTTTATGGTTCTTTCATTTTAGAACGATTTGTTGCCATTTAAACATCATTATCGACCGCTTTGCCCTCAGGTTTTGGACTGGCATGTGTTTGCTTTGAGTAGATTAGTAACAGATAAAATTGAGGAGGTTGCAGGAAGGGGAACCACCTAATGGGAAGACAAGCGCGACTTGTAAAGCGGTGTGCGGACAGATCAACGCATGCGTCTGAGGAGATCCTGTGAAGTCGTGTCGCATTAGGTTCAGTGTAGCGGGATGGGGGCAGCAGCGGGAGCAGGGCTCTTGCTTTCAGCAACGATCATAGCAGCAGTAGCTTGTTCGGAAGTGGATGGGAATCGCGCAATCGGACAGACATCGAAAGGTTCTCGTAAGGAACTTTTCAAAACGACAGGAAGGAATTCACTTCCATTTCCATTTCATTTCTTCCATTCACGTCAGAAGGCTTGTGATTGTTCAAAGCTCCCTCCACTTGTTGCACAAGCTGTTACTAAAGAGACAAATTGTTCTGCTCTCCAGCGGCTACATGGAAGGCAAAAATCGCTCAGTGGGGCCACCTTTTGTCATACTGGATGTACCAATAGAGTAATTTCGTCGAAAACAACAATTGGCAGAGTAAATCTTCTAGTCCACGACGCCATATAAATGTTTCTGGATTACTGCGTCTGGAGAAAGTTATGGTTTCCGAAGTTGTAAAAACTCGCGCCTTCGAAGAGTTCTCCTCGTTAATCACTCGCAAATGGCATTTTCTCATTTTTTCCTTCGGTTTTGTTATAAAGCATTCGTCAAGAAACTTCCGAATCTTGTTTCAGATTGAGAACTTTCCATTTTGCAGAAGGTTATGGTCAGTTGTACGTGTTCATCGTATAACTTCGTACTCTTAGGTAGGATTGAACTCGCCAGATCACCACATGCGTAGGCAAGAGCCAATCACATCTCTTCTACCCCTACAGGAGAGTGGCTGCTGGGAGGTGGGAGGGGAGAGAAGGGAGGTTGGTATCTCCGAGATTCCTCGACACCCCGTTTGACCTCGAGGAAAGCTGAATTACGATTGCGGGATACTTTCCAGAGTTAGGAAAACGAAGACGGGCGAAAGGAGATGACTTGAGATTCAAAGAAATAGCTGCGATTGAGTGGAAGGTGTAAGGGAAATAATGTGAATACCCTGCTCGTTAGCAGAAGACCGAATGAAATTGGAGATATCTATCGTTTATAGAATATCAATTGTTTCTGAACGTTGGCCGGAACATTTTTACGTTCTCTGGGCTCCGGAAGGCATCTTTAAGAACTCGACGATAATCTATACTGCAACACTTTCATGAGATACATAGGTGCTGGATGAAGAGGATGAACTGCAGCCGTTGCCACATGATCCATGAACACCGCTTCGTCGCAAGAGTGGTGCACGAATTGGGATGTTTCCTCTTAGAGCGCCCACCATGCTGTATGAACGACCAAATGGTATTGAGTCCATTGTATGCTATCAGTGTAATGTCTCGTAAAACATTACTAGATTTAAACCCCCTTTTGGGCGATGTGCCTTTCATGTGCGATGCTTTCGTGACGTTGTTTTCGTATCTCGGAAGTGTAGCATATTAAATACACCAGGTGCTAACCCTTTAAAAACAACAAAGTCAGCAGGGGCTCTTTGCTGATTTATAAAGCGGTCAAGCGCCGAAAACCCTACTCAGCGAAATCGGAGAGTGAGTTGTAGTTGCACTGCGTAACCTAGATATATTCGCCGGCTTCTCTAAATTCTGTGTGATCCAGCAAGTTAGCAGTTTATTACTAAGAATGTTTGCGCAAAATCCTGTAGCTTTTCTGAATCCGAAATTTAAAGGCCTTTATGTCTGGCCCCAAAACAACTAGTTTCCCAGCATTAAAACACTCAGAATCGTGCAAAACTTCTCCAAAAATTAGCACGTTCACTCCATTCTGCGTATATTCAAAATGCTGTGAGGCCGTCACGGACCGGTAAGAGTGATGGTTTGAAACCAGTGGGCTGCACGTGAACTGCGAAGTCGTTAGGCATCAAAATGTGTTGGGAGCATTACGTCTTCCAGAAACTGTCAAGGTTACGCAAAAGAGTTGACATTTGTGGGAACAAAGGAGAAGCAGGCCCCATTCAATAATTCAGATAATACGCCTTAGTAGCAGTCCCGTTAAGTTGTGCCTCGGCTTCAACTCTTATGCAGAGTTTGTTGTATTACGATGTGCGTGCTTCAAGACACCCAGTTAGGCATGTGTCGGTCCTGCAAGCTAAGGAAGCAATACTGGGCAGCATCTGTTGAAGTTTTGGATTCTGGACGTATTGATTTAAGTGCTATCTCACTGTACAGAAACAATTGGTACTGGAAAGCTAGGGCAGCTGCTGACATCATGAATTTTACCATTACCCTTCCTTCAGCGCAATTTCACTTTTGCGGAGTTCTTCGAACTTGATCGTGGTCGATCCTTTCGATAAGGCTTCGCAGGCTGCAGCAATGAAC